ATAGAAATTTCATCTCCCAAGGTTATTTAAAATAAAACTTACTGAAACAGAAGAAAAACACGCCGAGTGAAACATAAAATTAGTTACACAATAGCTTTGATTTTGGAGTAGATTTAAGTCAAGCTCTCCATCGATTTCGAGGGCGCACAGGTCTTCTTTCATCAGGAGCACAGAAAGCTGCAAGACTATGGAAAGTAACGGGAGTTACGATCGTATTTATATTCTTGTTTCGCTTTACTGAGGAGCATAAATATGACCGTTACCCCGCTGCTTTCGAATCTTGCAGACTCTTTGTTTCTGATGAAGAGCGACCTGTACACATGTTTGCCTTCGAAATCGATTGAGATCTTAACTTAAATCTACACCAAACTCAAGGTTGTTGTGTTACTAATTTTATAAAACTTGCTGTTCATTTACTTAGCTTTTTTATCATCATTATTTTGATTAATTAAAATTATTATATAAAATAGTATAGTAATTTATATGTTTTATATAACAAATGTATTTATTGATTTACAGAAAAAAAATTACATTAAGGAAATAAATGGGAACATATCGTACGTGTTCATGTCATTTAGGGCAATAACCTATCCTCATATGTTAGTAATATATAAGACACACTGTTTGGTAAATTTAATATTTTCAGTAAGATGCCCTTGCATATAAATTGGCAAATACGGTTTATATTAGAGCTTATCGTTGGGCAGTTAAAGTCCTGCTGTCAAACTCTCGCATCTTGAACATTAAAGGTGACGACAAGGTTTCGAGTTGCAATTTTTGACCGAGATTAATCCAAAAATTTACTATCGTTATCCTCTTAAAAGGAATATAAATCAGATCTTTTAGATATTGCTTTGAGTCGTAAATATAGACTTAGTATAGGCAGTGCAGTCTTTTTATCTCGATGACTTGTCCAAGTTTCAAAATTAAGGTGCATGGTTTAATAGCTGCTTAATTGATGAAATTGTTATAAAATCTCACAACTTTATTTTTTCCCTCACTATCTAACTATAAATTTGCTTTTCTCAAACAATGGCTTTGAAGATTCAGGCCTTTGGTATAGGGTCGAGATAAAGCTGTTAAAATTACCTCTCATATTGCTGTTGGATAGAAAATGATGAAGCTACACAGAGAAATTGTTATTCATTAAGCGTGTTAAATTTAATATGCCATCCAGGAGGGATAGTGGTTAGCGACGCTAACTGCGATACCGAATTCCCAGGCTGGAAACCCCGGAGAAGGCATGGGTGTTTATACATACATGGCGTCTGTGCTGCATGGGGGTACGCCAATATGCGACGGCTCGAAAGTCCTCCTAAGAGGTTGGTGCTCGGAAAAGAGCGGTGGCAGACATCAGATCCGTCCCCCCGTGTGCTCTAAATTTAAACTGGACGGAACTGAGGTAAGGTCGGCCCTCATGGTGGTCGAGGCTGTCTCCAACGACAGGCAACGATTGGACTCCTTGCTACGATGAATGTCGTGGGCTTGTGCTGACTTTTGACCTCAGACAAGTTAGCTTGGTAACAACAACAACAAATTTAATGTGAAAAGTTATTAACGGTAAATTTAATTTTGAAGTACCAATTTCTAGTAAAATATTGATTAAGAGCGTGCTCATTAATTTGCTTTTGAAATTAAACCAAGAAATTCAACTAGTGAACTATAAGTATTTTACATTCATTCCATATTATCAAAAATTGCATCGAACAGTACTCAAGTGAAAATTAAATATACTTGTAACACCTGTCTGAAGCTTAATCTAATCTTATCTAACTGAAGTAGAATATACTTAAGATTTAGTTAATGTTCTCCGGTGAGCTTTCGTTATGCATTAACTCTACAAGCAAACAGATGCAGATTCGTCACTTTAAATTTAAATTTATTCTATTCCATTACGCGTCAGGGTAAGCAACAAATATTGTAGAACGCTAAGTTTGTTCTGCACAATCTGTGAACACAAAACTTGCCTTAAAATGTCTTGATTATAAAATATATAAATAACTACTAACAGAGGCTAAGTGATCACAGTCAGCTAATAACAGTTACTAAAATCTGAACTTACCAATTAAATCTACCTTGCGAATTTACTTTTACGCAAGGTAACGGCTCTTCTTCAAGTGAAAAACTGAATAGCAGACATCCGACATTCATCCAAACTCTAACACCATTATGAGGTATCACTCTAACTTCATACTAAACTACTTGCCGCTTAAAATCTAAATAAACTCTGGAATGAGCGAGCTTCGTGTCGAAATGGAGCAGTGGAAAGATGCAAATTAAAATCAACTTTGTTAGTGAAACTCAAACATAATGCCATACACATGAAATCATTTATAATTTTAATTCATCTACGTTTTGATTTTGTTGTTCGGGTCTAAACAGGAGAATAAGGATTTGCTTTTTCTATAAAATATTATTTTTGATGAGATTTTTCCAGGAAGAGTATAAATAAAACCAGATGAAGCGTAGGGTGTGGTTCTTATTTGAAGCATCTAATTCTTAAGATGAAGCTGACTGCGATGCCGAAGGGCCTGGGTTCGAATCTTGGAGAAGGCATGGTTGTAACTGTCCGTCCCTTCATAGGAAAGACCATGGTGGCCCACCTATTAGGTGCCTCCATAATAAAGAAACCACCACATCCGGCCTTGTATAGATTAAGTGGCTGAGTTACTTTTGTAAATGTTCACAATCTGTCATTGGAAAAACAATTCTTAAGATTAATTAAATCTATCAAAAATAATATCAATTGAAAATAATGGTTTTTGATTTTATCATAGTGTCATCGAATTTGATAACAGAATTTTACAGTTATTGTTGTTGTTTTTGACTAATCTCGGTTGTCTGATATCAGAACAAGCCCACGAAATTCATCGTGACGAGGAGGCAAGATTGCCCTGTCGTTGGCAAGAGCCTTGGTTACCATACAGCCATTTGGCAGTACGACGTTGCTCATTTCCGTCCCCAATTTTGAAGGAGACCACATCGGAGAGCCGCATCCCAGGGTCTCGCACGTCTCTTCCCCTACCACCAAACTCTCTACAGTTTACACTTGTGTAAAGGAACATAGGAATTTTAGAAAATGTTTATTATTGAAGCTGTGAATGTTGAAGGACACCTGTAAATGTTCGAGAATCTTAGTGTGCCTAGATTAGAAGTTTTCTGTGCCTTGTAGTCTAGAACAGCGGTCGCCAACCGGTGGTCCATGGACCACTGGTGGTCAGAGGTAACTTTTTGCTGGTCCGCAGAAAAATTGGGACATGATTTATATTTTTATTAAGATTCAGTTTAAAAATAACGGGTAACAGAACCTATTATGGAACATGGATTATGCATTTTTTAAATTTTAGCTACTAATTTTAACGAAATCCTTCTGAATTTAGCGACGTTTTAGCTATGCGTATGACGTGCAGGCGTATCTAACGGCATTTGAAAGTGAGAGCTGGCATCCATGGATAGGCTGCTGTTATCAATATTAGCGCGAACTGAAATTGTATTTCCTTTTGAATTACAAACATATGCTATTGTAGTCGTTAATAATACAGTTTTACTCCGTGTCAATAGGCAACTAGATGGATTTTTCTGAATGGTGCTTGATGAGATTATATACAAGAATGCAGGTGGTCATCTACATTCTTGTTTATAATTACGTCACTGGAAGTTTCCGTTTTTGTTTTGTCTAACTGTTGATCGATGGCGCTATTGCTAAGTAAGCGATGATTATTAGCTTACGATAAATAAAAATTGGCGGCATATCACTATCAGTTTATTGATATTGCTAGGCGTTTGCCAATTTGTTCTTGCTTTTCGTGAAGTTCTTTTTCAGTGACATAGTTGGAAATGTGAAGCATTTTGTACAAGAAGGTAAGAATTTTGTATTTTTCATGTAATTTTTTGATGTGAATAAAATATGTGTAGTTTGCTTATTATTATTGTATTAATGTATTTAACTTTTTTTTGTAATTCATATTAGTGGTCTGCCAAATATAAAATTATATATGTAGTGTTCCGTGAAGTTATAAGGGTTGACGACCACTGGTTTAGAAAGTCTCATAATCTAGTCTTATATATTTTTAAGGAAAAATCTATAATGACATATAAATGAAAATTACTTTTCATCTAAGCAATTAGTTCAGACTTATGACTACTGCTAAACGATTTTCAGATTTTATATACAATTAAAAGGTGCCTGAATTTATTTATCGTGTTTTTATAAAATTATTATTAAATCTGCCATGGATTTATCTGTTTTACATTGTAGGTTTTCCTGTTTTTTTAAATTTTCTTATGGTTCTTTAATGTCAGAAAGAAAACGAAATATTGACACTAGTTGTAATGATTTGACAAATTTGTTCATGCTACTTTTTACACTAAAATTTGTTTTTACGTTATCAATTATGAATAAAAATTTTTAATATTATCGCCAACTCTATCTTAACATCAGCTTCTTTAAGCAAAAGTCCTGTTATATACTTATTCATCATCAATATAGACTTTAGTCTGCCTGATTAAGATTAATTGTGATTATTGTGACCAGTTACCTAGCTAGTCACAATAATCATAAAATTCCGGATACTGGGAGCATAAGTTCATTGATTTTTCACTAAGTAATAATAGATTATAAAATAATTTCATTTTGCACCGATTTTAGTTATTCCATTTCCCGAAGCAAGCATGCTGAGTTGAAACTTAAGCTCTTCAAATGACAGTATACGTTAAAATGTTTTCTTATTTTTCAAATATTTTCCATCACATTTTTTTAACTTTATGTTATGTTAAGAATAAATTAAAGATAGATATTTTGAATCATCTTATTGTTGTTAGTTATAGCGTCTTCTGTAGACTATACATTTATTTACTCATTTACTTTATACACATTTACTTAATTTCTTTTTAGGAAATTATAATCCCCAAGGAACGATGTAAAAGGCAAAAGTAAAAAAAAAGTTATCAAAGTAATTTTTTTAAATGTTAGTCAGCATTCTTTTCCTGATTTCTTTTAGTTGTTCTTGCTGGCAACATTACCGGAAGTTCTTGATGATGACGGAACTAATGGAGTCGAGCTTTTAATGGCGAATAAGGAAAAAAAGTATAAAGTGGCTGAACAAGAGAACACCAGACTGCTGAAATGGCAATTGCTATTTCCATTCCAACTAAAGCAATTTTCCGAAACGTTTCCTAGTTCGATTTGTTAGAGATAATTTTTCATCCTTAGTCTTATCTTTATCGTTGGGACATGAAAGAAAGAAGTTATGAAGTCAATTTTCGCTAGAGCCTGTAAAAAAGGCGTTAAGAACTTGTTAATGTATGCACGCAATTTAACATGTTTATAATAGTCTTTTTCTTTATTTCTAATTATTAGATTTTGGTAAAACTGTCTAATGTAAGATTTTGCTTGTTAATTAATCTAGGAAAAAAGACCTGATGTAAACACCAAAGAACTTCCTCAAATTGCCTATTAAATTATACCCATTTTTGTTGCACTTCATTTAAACTTATTTTTTCCAATTATTCCAACTTACTTAACCGATCTCTCAAGGCAAATTAAAAATGGCACAAAAATTGTAAATTCTAAGTTGAAATATACCGGTCAATTTTTATCGTACGGGAATCAAACTTCTGTAGTTTTATTTTTTCGGTATCAAAGTTTCGCAAATATAAGAAGCAGAAAGATTTTGTTGCTGGCTCAAAATTAATAGTTTTTAAATTTGAAATTGATAAAGCATGAATATTTTCATTATTTAAAACAGTTCTGCAACTAGAAGTATATGACTAGGACCACCGACTGCGAAAATAAAACCGCAGTAAGGACTTCTAAGCCAGATAAGTTTATAAGGCATTTCTCCGGCCTTTTAACATGCCTTCGTGGTATAGTGGTCAGCACGCTCGACGCGAGTTCGAGAGGTCCGTGGTTCAAGTCCTGGCGAGGGCATTGCTCATTTTTCATGACTCCTGCTTCCAAATAACCTAATGTCTCTACAAGTAATTTGAATATGTATGTATAAATTTATAGATATGAATACTTCTGCTGCTTGCCGATAACAATAAAAAGGGGGCGGTGCAAAACCCTATGTTATAACAATCCGATGTACAAAATTTCAACGTTCTACGGCTAATCTTCGTTGAGTTATGCCAGATAAGCCTATACATACGTACAGACGTCACAAAAACAACTGAGTCCCCTTTCCCTTTGAAAGTCGCTGCCTTTCTGCTATCCAAAATTAGCTGATGAATCATTCTACATTTTTTCAATTATAACAGTTCATCCGAAACTTTTAGTTAATTTTGTATAACACATATATATATATATAAATCAATTTAGAAACAAAGTTATATGTAAATTGTAAATATGTAAAGAATGTTCAGTGTTTATTGAAGTTTTTTTTTTTTTTTTTTTTTACAATCTTATGAATTTTTGTCTTTACATTTTCACCAAAGATTTTTTTCCGTAAATAATTTTTGTTTTGATGAAAAAAACGAAATTGAATGTTTTATAGGAAAAACAATTAATTACGTAAGTGAAGTTAATGTGCATATTTGATAATGTATTTTCGTACTCGTTTATAATTTTGTATTTGACATATAATTCCTGAATATTGCACAAGCGGAGTGAAAATATTTAAGATTTTAGTACTTTTATCTTTTTCAGAATTAGATTAATCTAAGATCTCTTTCTTTCGTAACGACAGTTTTACACTTTGAATTTTACTTTTCACAGCATTATTAACGATTCAAATATTTGAGTATGAAGTACGTTGATGAAATTCTCAGTAATATAAGGTATTTTCTCCATAGTTTCCGCATGCCTTCGTGGTGTAATTAGAAAAATACTTGAGGCGTGTTCGTGAGGTACAGGGTTAGTACCTCACGAGTCCAGGGTTAGTCCCGACCAGGCCATTGCAGAGGTTTCACGTCTGCTGCTTCAAAAATACCTAATGGCTCTATAAGTGACGCCGGAACGAAAAGGAGGGATATGATATTTCTTCACAATCAGGATTTATTCCCCTGATCCCCAGTCGCCTTTTAAAAGGGGATGTGTATAAGGTATTTATTGCCTTCCTTCATAATGTAATTGGAGGCTTACGCGACTCATATTCGAGGGCACTGCACAATTTTCACTCTTCTGCTTTAAAAGGACTTAATTACTCTACAGTTCTCACAAAGGGGCGATTTTCATTCCCTCATCTGAAAGGATATAATTCCTAATTAATTATCTTTAAGATGCTGAGAACACTCTAAGATCCTATGTCATTTATTTTATGCTAAGCGAATCGTGTCTTAGCGTTGTTGAATCGATTTCAAACTTTGCCACCAAGCTAGAGTAGTAACATCAAGTCGGGCGTTGTCCTGAAGACATCCTCTAAATATTCACATGTCTTCTTTTCCATGATTGGCTATTTCAAATGATTTTAAAGGCTCTTCCAAACAATAACAACTCATTGCCTGCCTAGCTGTTGGTAGAGTTGGCATTTTAAACCACATTAGGTAATAATGCCAGGTCATACTTATTCGATAAATACCTTTCAGTGCCTCTTCCACTGAAGCACGTAAGCATGGCTAAATGCTTCATCATCATATACACACTGTAACATTTAAATTTTTCGTAATGCAAAATATTCCTCAAAAGGACGTAATATTTTGAACAGTTTAGAAGTGTAAATTATGTACACTCATTTGATGCAAACTTTTGCTTTTATAACTAACTTACTGAGTAGTCATAGCTTTAGACTGAATAACTAGCACAATCAATGAACTTTCATTTAAAATTTGAAGACACATTTTCCATTGATTCATTCACAGATGGCATTCTAAGTAAGACTAAATGTTGCAGCATAAAAGTTGTAACGGAACTGTTTAGTGCCAAAAGAAGTAGTTCTGCGCTTTTAAATGATGGACATATTTTCAAAATAAAAGCTACAGTTAATTGTAATATCATCTCTTCTTGTCTCTGTAGCAAAGGCAAATCGCCAGGTGTAAATTTATCATAGACGTAAATCTATCGACAATCCCGTGCATACTATTAGTCAAACCTTCTACAGTATTTTTGAAACAGGTGGTTTTCATAAATAACATCACATTCTTTTAGAGGTACAATAAATGTAAAAATACGCTATACTAGCTTTAATGTAATAGATTTTACTATAATAGCTTTAATAGCTCGCAGAGGATTGGTACTAACATTTAATACAACTTTCCTTATTTCATCAACGCTCCTAAAACCAGTTTTACAGAATCTCTATTTCTTAGAGAAGGATACCATAACTCATATACACTGTGGGTTACGTATCATTGCTATCACCATGCTATGTTTATATGAAAGTAAAACGTCCAAATTCGAAACTTAAATGCATATACATTGCGCGGGCTTATAATGGTAAATATTTAAATCATTAAATTAGAGGATGCACGAGATTAGAGGATTTAAGCATGAAGAGCGCTTTTCACCGCTCATTATGCTTAAATTCTCTTTTTTGAAAAATGACGTTTTCATTTATAAGTTTTAGAGGTAAAAAAGGTTTTATTATAGAATGATTTGATTTACTTAATTATGACAAAAAAAACACTAGGCTATCTGTCTGAGGGTAGGGAGGTCTTAGTGGAGGATTTTTTAAGGAAACCTGGCTTGTATATATGCTACAGTGGGAAAAATCCCGAAAATGCCTATGCAGCCATTCCATCCGCATTTAATCGAACCCGGTCGAAACTACATTGGTCATCAACTTTACCGCTCAGCCGCTGTTGGGACGTTATTATAGGATAACGCACTGTGGAAACGGTGTAGCACCAGGGTGCCTGGGTCAAGGACCCTACCCTTTCTAGGACAGATATATTATTTCGAATACTGTCATGAGTAACTAGTATAAATTTAGGATTTATTTTCTTTTTTATATAAATATATATAATTAAATCATGTTTTTAACATATTTTTAAAAATTTAAAAATAGAAATAAGATAAGAGATAAATTAAAAAATAAATTTCGAAAAAGACTAAAGTGTGCGTCAAGTTTCAATAGACTTGTAGTGCTATCTGGGAAGGCCGAGAAAGGAGGAATGAGCTGGCTATAGCTTGATGCAGAATAAACATTCGTATAAATAATAGACAAAACAGTGTGAGTCTCTTGGGGCACTAGTAATAATCAAATCTATAACACAGTATTAAGAGGTACATATCAGATTAAATAAGTTATACAATATGGGGACTAAGTATGGCCATAGGCCGTTTACAAGTATTTGGGTCATTAAAGTCGTAATCGTAAATCGTTATAACTGGGTTGTTGATATTAACAAGATTGGCATAAAAGTTCCGGGCGAGCCGGCAGTAAAAACACTTAAGTTGTTCTAAACCCAATTCTTCATGTAACTTTTGATTTCGAACGTACCAGGGCGAATTGGTTATCTGTCTTATTATAGGATGAGAAGATGGAAAACTCTTCTTCACGATTTTCAGTACCTTCTTTTATACTAGAAATAAAAAAAATTAATCAAGTCGAAAAGCAATGGCAACGCGTATATTAATTACTGTCATTTTTGCCAGGGAGCAAAGACACATTTGTGCTGTAGATTAAGCAAATTATTGATTTGCTGCTATATATTAAGCAAATCAATAATCAATTATTGATAAGCTGCGATAGATTAGGCAAATCAATCTAAGTTTAAATTCAATCGTGTAAATTAGCTTGATGAAAGGAATTTCAATTTAAACATCATATTTTTATTCTTTAAAATGCAATAAGTAGCATACGCTAGTTAAGCATAGGTTTATTACAACGACTGCATGGAATTTAATTACGGAAGCAGCAAAATGTGTTCAGCATTCTTTTTTCCGCCTTGCAAGCATTAGAAATTGTGAATACTGCTTACGTATCAGAGCACATATGCAGGTTGGCAGTTACACCTAAATAAAGGCAGCTTCACTATTAACACACCTGCGTGAGTATTTTCTATCTTCAAAAATCAACTCTAGAAGTGTAAAATACCATCTTTCTAGTGATAATTAATGAGTTTCCAGTATTTTCATTTCATTTCATTTGTGATATAATCTTTGTTTTTGCGTTTTGGGCTCTCTGATTGCAGTTTTTCCAATATTTATTTTTGCTACGCGAAATGTTTAGCTGATCTAAATCAAATAATGGCATAATCATGTCAAGTGTATAATTATTTAAAAACCTTTATTAATTACCATTTAAAGACAATAGCTGTAAGGAAAGCCATTCTACTTAAACACGAAATTAAAATCTCTCAAATTAAGGTTATAATCGCGTTTAATCGTTCGTCGAATAATTAGAAAGTAAAACAATTAAATAAAATGATCCAAAATGTTATCAACATAACATACCCGTTACGGATTTTCCCCCTCGCCTTGTAGTCTGATAACATAAACCGATCTTTCCTACTTTTAAAGTAATGGTATCTTGCTTTTAATGGAGAAGAGAAATAACGTATTTATAAAATAGCTG